CCTGAACCGCCTGCTTCTGCTACATTCAGTGATGTCCAGCACGCTCAGGGTAAGGCAGAGCAGACCCTTGTGCTGGAGAATCTGCACCGTCCCATGATCTTGTGTCATGACTGTGGATTCATACAAACCCAAAGCCTGGCTGGGTCCTGGTGCCAGTCAGGAGCTGTACAGGGCTTTGTTTTCGGAACATGTTGTCTTTCTGGAGCTCTGCTCTCCTTCCTTCCCTTTGACCCAGAGAATTCATAAGGCTTTTAGAGAGAGAAAAGGACCCAGGCAGGGCTGTACATGAGCCAGCATGTTCAGCTTCCCAGCTGCTGTTGCATTAGATTTGAGAGAACTGGCTTGGTGGCAAACAGAAAAGCAAAGCTTAGAAGGCCAAACATGCAGCTCTCTAAGTGATTGCTGAAGAAGACCATCCTCTCTGGAGGCCTCTGCTTGCTCATGGCACAGTTGTTATTGAGGTCTTCGGGTCTTTCCAGCACAATGGGAAAATATGTTGTTGCCTCAGTTGTCTTTGGAGAACTTGTGTTTGTTTTGAGACAGTAAGGGGCTGCCAGGAAATTGCCAGTCTTCAGCAGGGAGTCCAAGCAGCAGCATCTCCTGTTTATTATGATTGCTTAGAATGAACAGGGCAAGGAGTTGGGTTTCACCTTGAATAATAAACTTAATGCTATTCATGCTGTTATATGTGAGATTAAACTACTTTAGGTGCCCTTCCACAGGAGAGGAGCAAATAGCAGGTGGCTGGAACTGTGAAAATTTGCACATGAGGTATCAAGAGGTATCTTTGTGACCACAGACTGGGAGCCAGGGCTAGAAGAGGGGCTTTACAGTGAGAAAAATCTGCTGAGGATCTTATTCTTCCCTCTTCCTGCAGCCCCACAACAGTCCTCCTCTGGATGTAAGTCAGCATCTGGCTCTAAAGATAGATGAGATCAGAAAGGGACTACCTGGGAACATGAAGGATCTTCTTTGGGGAGTGAAGTTTGATGTTCCCTCCATCGTCCTTGAGTCAGACAGGTAATGTGAACCTTTCTCATTATTAGACTTATTCTCTAGGGTATGGAGATCTGGCAGCTCCTAGCTAAGTTCCCAAAGCTGGGTGATATTAAACTGGAAGAACCTCCAGAAACTGGAATCTGTAAGAAAAGTTTCCTGGTATACTGCTCCTGCAAAGTAGGTCTGTGTTTTAGCAGGAACCTTCTTTGCAGAGAGGGCTATGGGAGATGCAAAGTTTGTGAGGATCAGGGGACAAAATTTTCTCTCCTTCATGAATCCTGAAGTCCTTGCTGCGTTCTTTATACCATGTTTACCAGGCTTCTGCCTTTCCCCACAGCTTGAGAGCTCTTACCTAGACACATTTCATCTCTCCCTGTTGATGAAGGGCCTATGCTTTCATCTCTTAACCTCTTGGCATATTCATTTCACAGTGGCAGTTGCAGATCATCTAAAACCACATCCTGTAGGAAGGAGGGGTCTCTGGATACCCATCTCAGCCCAATTTTACCTGTGTTGCCAAAAGGCCCAGTTCAACAGGTTAGTAGGGTGGGAACTGAATTCAAGCCACATTTGTCGTGGTTAGGAGTTAGGAGTTCATCGGTCTCTTCCTTGCCAGCTGACTTGTTTTGTAGCCATGGCTCTATATGGGAGATACAGAAAGCTTTGCCTTTGCTTCTCTATACATAAAAGTTGTTTTAACAATATTTCAGCTGAAATTTAATGTCTTCAAAGGGTTCAACATGTTCAAAAGTGCTTTGAAGGTGAAAAGTATAAAAGCTTTGAATGAAAGTAGATTATGCTGCGTTTGCTTTGATTTTTAGCAGATACCAACAGGTGTTGCTGCAGGAAAGATGACTCCCAGGCTGTGTTCCTCCACTTCTCTTGACGTGCATGGGAGGAAGTCACCTGCAGACACTGCTTCTGTTCCACTCAGTCTGGAGACCTTGAAGGAAATTGCTGCCAACACCAAAAGCATCTCCCTCATTGCAGCCAGTCGCCTTTCCAGAGCCCAACACAGAGACCTTGGGAGCCATGTCTCCTCAGCCTGCTTCTCTGAGGAGGATACACTTGAGCTGAAGTATCTAGAAGCCATTTCCACCCCAGATTATCAGACGAGAGATAGTGCAAGTGTTGGGAGTTTGCTGTTGGAGCCTACAGCTGGGAGCCAGGTGTGCTCCCCAACCAGGGGAGTGCTGAAGAACAGGAGAGACCAGGAGATATCTGCTGAGAGGACAGCCAGGAAGAAAAGATCACACTCTCTTGAACCAAACTTCCACAGGGTAAGTCCTTTGTGTTTCTTTCTAATGGGATTGGATTGAGCAGAAGGCATAGATCCAGTGGAGCCAAGGATGGTTTTTAAATACAGTAAGAAAAACATAGTGCAAACTGCATGAGGAAATAAGTTAAATATCTTTATTCTTCTATAATGCCCTTGACCTCCTCCTAAACAGCAAGCTAAGCCAAAGTCAGCTGTGAAGGGAATCTTTTAGGTACAACGTGGCAAGTCAGAGGTGAGAGACATCACCACTGAAGTTAACTTGGTGTCTTTCAGACCTCGAAAGCTAAGCACTGGACTCCCTCAAGCCCCAGCACAGACAAAGCTTGTGAGAACCACCTGTGCCGAGCTAGACTCTTCCATCAGCCAAAAGCTGCAAGTAGCAGCATATCCGTTGCCACAAAGGTCAAGGTTCCTATCAGCCACCATTCAGGTAGGGGCCAAAGAGCTGCTGGTGACACCCTGCATCAGCTCTGAAAAAGATGGGATTGTCATGTGAGAAATAAGCCAGAGTAAGGGCTAATGATCAGAACTACTAGTAATCTGATCTTAATTTTCTTTAATATGGTTTAAGAAGCTTTTGACAGGTAAGAAAACATATTCTTTGCTGACCACTGCCTCAATTATGCCTCTGTAATCTAGGGGGAAGAACTAGTGTTCAGTTGGGTTCATATGCAGCACGTTGATCTGTCCCCAGTCATTCAGACAGTTTCACATACAAACCAAGTCCCAGCAAGGAGACCAAGACATGACAGGCTGCACTGACCATCTGGCAGCTTCTGTTATTTCGCTTTGTGCAGACACACCAGGCCAGGATGAGGTTCGGGGAACTGGATACCCAAATCCTATTGAAATGTAGATAGAATCCTTCCCCACTCAGGCAAGAGGTGCTTACCCATGCCAATTAGGTTTTTTCCTTCTTTTTAAATTTTTTTTTTTAAAAAGGATAACTTCTGATTTACAATTTACAACGCTATCATTTATTTTGGCTAGCTATTAGCAACTTGTGCATTGCAAAATGTTTTAAAACCGTGCTCTGCTCCTGCTGTTTCTAATGAAGCTCTCCCTGCCTTGGATAGAGGGGACTCCACTAGAAGTGCTGCCGAAGGACAACGCTCCTGCAAGCACCATCCAGCAGAGAAACACTGATCGTGTCAAAGGACGGGTCCTACAGAAACAAGTCAAGGGTGAGTACATGAAATACCAAGTTGGCTGGCTCAGGAAGCACTACTTATATTCTTCAGCACTTGCTCTGTTGCTATCTGAACGTAAAGAGCTGTAAATGCAACACAAATGGTCCAGTTGGGAAAGCAGTCATGTGGGTAGTGGGTTTGACAGCCAAGTCTTAAGTTTTGGGGTTTTTTACTTTTTTTTTTTTTTTTTTTTTTTTTTGCAACAGATGACATGGGCAGTGTTCCAGAATGAGTTACACTCCATCTCCCTCTTAGCCAAAAATAACATTTTAAGAAGAGAAAATAACATCTTCAGAGGTGTTCATAATCCTGGTCTAATCCATATGTGATTACAAAATTTAATCTGAGTTAGCCATGTGACAACATCCTGCTTCCACTGAATCCCACCTTGGGCTTTTCTTAAGGCAACGATGCGCAGATCCTAGTGCCTTTGCCAAACTCCCTTCCACAGCTCGTGGCAATCTGTCTCTTCCACATTTTGACTGGCAACGAGACTCAAATTGAAGTGTGAGAAATTTGACCGAGTACTTCATCTTCCCTGGCTTGCAGGGCCTGCAGATGGTGCCAGCAGTCGGCAAAAGCAGCAGTCAGTTGCTCGCTTGGGGAACCAGCTGAAGACTAAATAGAAGTCACCAGGGAGCAGAACTCTCAAGGGATCACAATGTCAAGACTGCTGGAAGTCAGGGAAGCAGATGCAGAGGGATTGTGCCTTAAAATCACAGCATCGCAGAATGGTGGGGTTGGAAGGGACCTCAGGAGATCATCCAGTCCAACCCCCCTGCCAAAGCAGGTTCCCTACAGCAGATTGCACAGGAAAGCGTCCAGGTGGGTTTGAACATCTCCAGAGATGGAGACTCCACACCCTCTCTGGGCAGCCTGTCCCAGTGCTCTGTTGCCCTTACAGTGAAGAAGCTTTTCCTTAAGTTTGTCTGGAACTTCCAGTGTTCCAGATTTTGCCCATTGCCCCTTGTCCTGTCACTGGGCACCACCGAAAAGAGCCCGGCCCCATCCATTTGGCCCCTGCACTTCAGGTATTTAAAATGTATTTTGGCTTCTGTGTTGTGATGCTGAAAAGCAGAGATGCAAAAATAGCAGAGGGGAGAAGGAATTTATACGTTGGAGATTACTTTTTCCATATCCCTACCACAAGTCTTTCCTCTGTACTGTGCACTCTAGCTGTTAGCTTCAAGTTAAGACAAGTATGGTGTTAAGAGAGTCCAAGAGAAGAGGAAAACCTCATTTTCCCAGCAGTGTTTGCCTCCCAGAAGATGTCAGCATGGAGCCCAAGCCGCCTTTTTTTCCCCAGGACAAAATTGTAGATGCCACCCATGTATCCAAAAGGCTTCCTGACTATTAAAACCAAATGTGAACGCCTGATAAATAGTTTCCCCGTTCTTCCCTGCTGTCCCTGTGTGTTGCTGTGAAGCTGGGAGGTGTAACGCACGCCCGGAATGCTGTTTGGGTGAGCAGATGTTCGGCTGTGAGAGCAGTCAAGAGTTTGCTCTGAGCTCTTTTCCATCTACAGAGCATTTTAGCTCTGACTGCAGGCAGGAGAAGCAGCGTGGTGATAAGGTGAAGACCCTGATAAGTGCTAGCCTGGAGGTAAACTGTGGGAATGTGTTTTTCTTTTTGGAACAAATGTTTCCAGCCAGCAGGCTGCTCTATATGGGGCTTTTAAAAAAATATTTTCCCTGCTTTTTAAATATGCTGCAAATAACGTGGTTCTGGTCATTGCACTGAATAAATAGTGACTCCATGCCCCAAACAGGGGAGTGGCTTCCCTCCTAGGTCTACGGAGGTATCTAAGATGACAATCTCAGATAGGTTTGTGCATTTTTTCTATGGATGAAGAACCTTTTTTACAGCTGCAGCACTTGCAAAGAATTCTCCTACGTGCTCTTTCTGACTTGCTGCATGATGCTGCACATGCTCCCTCTCCCTCCATGCCTCTTGCTTTGCTATGTGGGGAAGATGAGGGATAGTTCACTCCAGAGCTGAGGAATCTGAGATTACTTGTATTTATAAAATATCTTAAACCCCTGAAGTGGGGACGCAATGCAAGTGCACAAGCTGGTCTAGCAAGCAGCTGCTTTTCCTGATGAAACAGAAGGAAGCAGGAAGAGGTGTGATGGCAAAGTAGAAGGTCAGGCTTGTTCACCGAGGCTGACTCTTTCAGATAAACAAAGATATAAAAAAAGGACACACAGATAAAATAAGCACAGACTGTGTGTAAAAGAAACCTGTGCCAGCAGGTCTCGAGCCAAGCCTGTATTTACAAGACCTCACGTGACCTGCAAACACTGAAGGACCAAAACTGAGGGAAAATGGAGTTTTCCGAGCATATACATGTCCACTAAATACTTACGGGTTGATTCATCATGAAAAGTTGCAGTGTTTGGAGTTATTTCCTACAAAGAGTGGGACATTTGAGCTAAATGCAGCGGTTTGAGGTCGTATCTCTGAAGGGAGGTTGTATAACAGAGTTTGATAATTTGCCATGACTGGTGTGAGGAGTCCAGAGCTATCTGATGTGCTAATTTCCCTGTTTGTAAAACCTACACTTTAAGTCTGTTAATAAACATAAAAGCTAGGGACTGAGATTTTTGGAGATGGAATCTGTAAATTATCGTTTGTAGCTTTGATAATTGCCAGAGGTGAGCCTGCAGCCCATCTGCTGCACAAAGGGGGGGCCACGCTCATTTTCAGTGCTGGGCTAATGGCTTTTTGATTTGATTCTTCTTGATCACAAATAATAAGAGTAGCAAAGGGAGCTTTAACTGCAGCATTTTCTAGCCTTGCTCCATCCCGTTATCTATACTTTGTTCCTAACAAAGGCTGCTGGGCTAGAACCCAAAAGGCTGGGTTTTTTTCTGTAAAACAGCTTGAAACTGGGTACATCCAACTGTGAGCTCCAGCGTGGAGCGAGGTCAGCTCTGGGGATGCTGCGTCCATCTCGAACGAGGACTGTCACCACCACAGCCATTGCTGGATCTTCCTGTTCCCGATCCTGTCCCTGGACCAGGGCAGGCGCTGGAGCGGGGGGTCCTCACCTCTGCAGCCCCTGAGCCCCCAGTCTGTGGGGAAATTAAATACCCGCCCAGAGTGAGGGTGGGGTACGAGTCCTCCACACCACCTGTGAGCAATTTAACAATGAGTTTTAGGTTAAACGTTCCTTGTGTCATTGCTCGAAGGCGGGTTTGGTAGCGCAGCCCCATTTCAGACCGCTCTGAGGGGAGCTTTATCCCTTCGGCGTTTGCCGCCCCTGGTTTGCTGTAGCGGGCTC